CCCCCCTCCATGCCTCCACATGACTTTTCTCACTCTCAGCTCTGTGCCTCCTGCGTTTTCCCTCTCCCATCTTGATTTCCCGTGGGATGTTACTTGGGAGAGTTCGGCAGGGAAGGGGTTAATGCCTCATCTGGGTGCTGCAGAGGTTACCACTCGGCTGGGCTTCCAGGTTCAGTGTAAGCCAGAGAGCTCCAGCGAGAGGAGATCTGGATTCAGGCAGCGTTGCTGATGGGAATGCAGGGAGCGGGGAAGAGGCTGCTGCCCCAAGGCCTAGCAATTTAAAGGGGCCCAGGGACCCGGGCCCTTTAAATTGTGACTGGAGCTCTGGACAGTGTGAGCCAGGTGGTGCTGAAGGGGCGGTTGGACTAGCCCCCTGCCCTTCCACATCCTGGAGCTGCCCTCTCTCCATTTGTCCAGGGGCTCAGCAATTCCATCTGCGGCCTTGGGCTCAGCCAGCCTGTGGCGGCCGTCAGATAACCGCCCCTGCACACGTTGACAAGACTCGCCACTAGGACGGCAGGAGTGGGTCAGCTCCTGCACATGTGTGAGCTGCCCCACTCTTACCTGTAGTCCCAGTGGTGCCCCAAATTTTCAGGTGCCCTCCGCAGCCACGTATGCATCGGGATGGCCCGGACACAATCTCTCTTTGTATTGCATAACATTTGTGCGGTACCCTTTGTAACCTCAAATGTGCTTTCAGAAGTTGTCAACTAAGCAACTATTAAAAAGTCTATGTATCTTGAAGGAGAGGATCTTCCAAAACTCATTATTTGTGTAATTTCTCATTGGTAGATGAAAACACCCTGGAGCTGTAACAAAAGCAAGTAAACTGAGTCAATAGAGAGTAGAGTCTTCCAGTCATGCTAATTTTATCTATCTTGAAGTACAAAATTTGAACAATAGTGGAAAAAGTTTGAGACTAATTGGGCAGTGTATGTTTGAGTCTCTTTGAGCAATTACCCTATACTTACAGTAATGGACTGCTCTCTAAATCAGCGGTCAGCTTTTCACTTTTCTTCTGTGGTGATCCTTTTCCCTGTTTGTGGGGATCTTGTATACAGCTGCAGGGGTGAGGAGAAAATTGAGACGCACTTGATTGTGAATACTGCAAAATGATTGGGAGCCTCTGAGGCAGGCGCAAGACCGAACTGACTTTTTAACATCTGTTTTTTAAAACTCACTGGAGTTCAGATTAACGGGACCCTTTAAACCTCAGGTGTGAATGAAGCAAATTTCATACAGAACGTACAGATAAAGAGTAACGATGGTGTTCCCGAATATCATTTGTGGTCACTCCTCTGCCAGTAGCCACACACCAAGGGTTATGCTGCTCCCAAGCGGGGCAGGACTCGAGCCTACCACCCTGAGCTCACCTTATCCTGTGTTAGCTGTCCAGCTGCTCCCAGGATGGATGCAACTTGAGCCCCCAACCCTGTGCTCCCCATGCAAATGCTGTATCCCCTAGTCCACTCAAGTACCCACACCGCCTCCCAACCTTCAGATGGTCCCTTATGCTGTGTTGGCTGTCTGGTCACTCCCAGGAGAGGGGACGGAGGTGAGATGGGACTTGAACCCACCACCCTGTGCTCCCTGGGACTACAAAGGACCGGAGTAATCTGTTACCTTGTTAGCGTCAGGCCCGTATTGTTCTCTGTGTCAGATGAAAACTACCAAAAGGATATTATGTGCTTTGGGTGAACTTTGTTCTGCTTTCTTAGCTTAGTTGCTGTAAAAACATAGTTAATGAATCTTACGTAAGTTGCTTTCCCAGTATCACTTGATCTAGTGCTAGGATTACTCTTCTCAGGGTATTGTAAAAGGTGTGTCACATGTTCTACTGTATTGGTGCACCTATTCAAAAGATCAATATTTAAAGAGTTTTGAATAAGCTTAATTACCTACTCTATTATATGTAACATGGAAATTTAATCACCTGTGGTTTTCTCTTATTCAGTTAAATCCCCAAATCCATTTGTGTGGTGCTTCTGTGTCATAGAATCTACAAAAAAAAACAACATTGAGCAAGATGTCTTTGTAATGACCATGACAGTCCAAAGTGACATGTAGAAATAGGCCAAAGTGACATGTAGAGACAGCTGGTTTGACTTTTAGCTATATATTATTTTAGTGTTCATGCATAGATAGCAACTAAGGGTGTTTTACTAATTATTTTTCAAATGATATTTATGTAATTTCTTTGGAATGTTCTCAGAAACATGAGAGCCTAATTGTTCTTTTACATTTTTGTAGTGCCTTCCATCTGAAAAATTTGAAGCACTTCGCTAGCAGGTCAACTTCACCACCTCTTGTGAGGCAGGTAAATATGTTTCTGTTTTACAGATCAGGAGAGGAGATGCATTGGAATTGTGTAGGGACGGGGATCATCTTTTCTGTTCTGAAAATCGAGCCTTAATTGGAGGTGTGGAACTTTTTTAACAAACCTGCCTTATGTGCCATGCTTAACTTACTGTAAGTTGGTAGCAGACTTAGAAATAGAAACCAGTAGTCCCGGTTCTCACTTTTCTGCACTCACATCTGCACTATCACTTAGTATATTATCCAGATACCATACAAGTCCCTTCTAAAATGCAACTATTGGTCACCATGGACCACGTCTAGGATTTATTCCAGTTTCTGGTCAGCCATTCCACTGAGGGATCAGTCTGGAAAAGTACAGAGTAGAATTATTGCACAAGTCATGAGCATGTAATGTTGGCATGGGCTATTCATAAAGATGCGAGGCAGATGATAAGGCCTTCACAACAAGACAAGGAAAAATATTCCAGTAATTAAGTATCTAAAGAAAAAGCAAATACACATAGAATACATATTTCATGCTGATTTAAAAACCAGATGTGAAGACTGAGGCAGAGAGCACTGAATTAAACTCCCCCCCTCCCCCCCCAAAAAATTACTGCTTAATAAAATAAAGTTCTTTAATTCAGACTACGTAACCGTCAGCAGGTGTCATGGTCTTGCACGTTTTGCACAGGCTGGTTGTATTTAAAACACAGGACAGGGAGTCCAGAGATCTGGGTTCTGTTTTGTGCACTGACATGAGTGACACAGGCAAGACACAGCATCTGTGGTCTCTCCTATGTCGTAGTGGTGATGATGGGCAATCACTCGGTGCCAACTTTGATCATCTTCCATGGGTGTTGTGGATTCTTGGGCAGCTGATAAGGTCAATCCTTGAACCACGAGTTCTATCACAGTGAGGACAGATGTTTGCAGATACAGCAGGGGGCTGTTGAGAGTGACTAGAAGCCAGTCTCTCCTTCCCCGTGAGCCTTTTCTCCTCAGCTTGTCAGCAGGCAAATTCAGAATGCAAGGGGCATATATAACTTGGAGGCAATAATATCTCCCACTCTGACAGGGGGATTGAGAGACAAACGTGTAAAACATGCAAAGTGCTTTGAAGAAGTAGTGCATGATTGCACTAAGGCTGAAATCCTGCGTTTGTTTAAAAAAAAGCATATTTGCTACTTTGGGTTAATTCTAAGATATTTTGAATTTTTAAACTTTTGCAGGCTCTAAGCTTTTAGCTCCCTCTCCACCACACTTTTTTTTTTAAGCACACATCACTTCACAGGCAACTGTCAAAATAAGACTGGAGAAATCTCTGCAGGTTATCTGCCTGAGTCTGCAGGCAGACTGTTCTAGTGCCTTTGGTGCTGCTCAGTGCTTTGCCAAGGGACAGCAGAGTGAAAACTCAGTCTTGGACTCTTTCAGGTTTGTTGCCAGAATTACTGGGCACCAGTGAAACGGGGGGGGGGGGAAAGGTCAGTTTCCTTCTGCCGGTTGGGAAAGCTGAGAGCAGTAAACAGCAGAGGTAGAGACCATTGTTCCCTTTAATTTTTCCCATCCCTGAGCAGAATGAATTTTCTCATCTGTACCAGTGCAGGGGTGATGTGGGACACTTCCTCTTCATATTGGTGCACGTAACAAAATCCATTTGCAGGAGTAGGGCCAAAGGGTTCTGAGAGTGGGGATGGTGCAGGAAGGTAAGGGCTCTGGCTGGGGATGCAGGCTCTAGGTTAGGGCTGGGATTGAGGGGCTTAGGGCTGGGGCAGAGGGTTGAGGTGCAAGTGCTCTGGTTGGGGGTGCAGGCTTTGGGGTGAGGCTGGGGATGAGGGCTATGGCATGCAGGGGGGGAGGCTCCTGGTTTGGAGAGGGGCTCAGGGCAAGGGGTGCAGGCTTTTAGGTGGGGTTGGGGATGAGGTGCTTTTGGGGTGCAGGCAGGTGCTCAAGGTGGGGCAAGGGGTTGGGGCTTATGCTTACATGGGTGGCTTCCTGCTGGGGATGGCAAGGGAGGGGTTCCTTTTCCCTGGCCATGGCAGCCTCGTGCTGAGGCCATAGAGGAGAGGTGCCTCACCGCCAGCCCTGGCAGCTTCAGGGCTTGGGGAGAGATACCTCTCCCTGCTACAGGGCTGAGCCCCGGGCAGGGCTGTGCGGCTTCGGGGAAACTTAGGTGGGCACCGAAGTTATTCAATGGCGAGCAGGATTTGGAAGTGGGAAGCTATTCTTGCTGCAGCCAGGAAACAGCATGCTGAGAGAGAAGCGGAGGATGCGGGCTGATGGGGACATCATCTTTATCAGGCACCTGATGAATCCCCTGGCTGATTCAGGTGGCTTTACAAACACATGCTCACTAGTGTATCTTTCCCCTCTCTTCCCTTGCTGGGTGAAAGACCTGTTTCCCATTTGGATGGCTTAGCTGGGAGTACAAGTGGGCTTGGTGAGGATGACTAGGCACAAAGTCTCCGATGGGCAGAGTAAAGAAACCGATAGAAGAAGACGATACAGGGATTGTAGGTGCTACTTGTAATATTACCAGACAGGCGTCTGCTGTGTCTCCTTTTAATCATATCCAAGCTACAATGTTCAGATTCACAGGGGGCTTTTAAAATTCTGCTGCTTACACCCGTGCTGAGATGTTGCCTGTGTACACAGCACCCTACAGTCCAGTGCGCAGGAAGTTTGAAGTTAACCATTTCCTGCCCTGTGAGACGTGGATTTTTTTTAACAGGGCAGGTTTTACTCTTCACCTCTCTGCTGTTTACAATCTGAGCTTGTTTTCCAGTGGGAAATCAAACTGGTCAGTGATTTTGGTCAGAAGAAGGTGTCCTTAAACTGAAACCATGAGGATATGAAGTTAATCTGTGGATCAAAAAACTTTCATGCTGTCCCATGTTAATCAGGGCATGAGCAACTGGGGAGTTCTTTGTTTGACATGGAGGCAAATACTCCACAATGGGTGGTGCTTACAATCCAAAACAAAGACAGGCTTGCCAAGGTTGGAAGTTTGCAAGTGATATAATTCAGGGTTGTTGAAAACAGCTGTTCTGGAGGCTCACAGTAATGAATAACACCACATTAAATACAAGAGGCATCAAACTACAAAAATAAGTTAACCAGAATGGGCATCTGGCATACATCTGTGTCAGCCCAGAGGACAGGAATTCTCTCCCTGTCCCTTTGAAACCATTTTCTTCTTTCGGATGCTGTCTTCTTGCTTTTACAACCATTCTGCTCTCAAGTGAGGGCTGCTGCCACTTTTTTGTGGTTGGTAATGAAAACTCAAATGTACAATGCTTGAAGATGAGAGAGGGTTTAAAAAGTTTGAGAGGAAGAAACATGCCTGGTTTCTACATTGTACTTTGAATGGAATCTGTGGCCGTCTCCATCTGACGAGTTATAGCAACAAACTTTGATTAGAGGGAACTACATTGTTGGGTGGATTTTTTGTTTACTCTGTGTAAATGAAAAAATACCATTCAGCGTAGTGTGTTATATAACTTATTTTTTACTCCTGCTTTACTTGCTCTTCGAGCCAAGCCATCTGCTAATTGGGAGTTCCGAGCAGCTGAAAATTGTTGAGAAACCAATGTGGGAAAACAACAAAAATGCCTTTTTACTGTTGCACGGTGAGGCTGTACCTCATTGCTCCGTGCCGTGGGTTATCAGCAGAAGAGTACTGTTACACTCATCCTAGTCGTGAGGCTCTGTAGGTGCTGCTTTTGTTCTTGGTTGGAAGCTGTCGTGGAAGTACCAAGCAGTGGTATAGTAAACCTGAATGCAAAGCAGCAGGATGTGTATTTGGGATTTTCCTCTAAACTTTTACATGAGGAACAGAAGAGTAAAAAAACCCAACCAGCTCCCATTAAAACTGTGGAATAGATGCCAGATCAGGGCCGGGCCTGAGTGCAGTGAAAGGTTTGCAGTTAGGGTAGGAATCAGCCTAGGAATGTACTTTGTGTATTCTGTGGGGTATGTGAGAGAAGAGAGGATTCCTTTTCTCATGCGGAGGTAGGGAAAATTCCTTTCACCCATGGTGAATAGAGCTTTTGTCTGTAGAGAGGCAGGGGCTAAGAGCAAATGGGGAAAATGTCTGTGATAATGAGGAGGAACCAGTAGCCACTTGGGGCGATGGAAGGCAGATAGACCCTGTGGCAGGGCTGCTGCAGCTTCATGAGAATTGTGCAAGGCTGGTTCAAAGGGGTTTTGGCCTAGTAGTTTTTCTTCTGTAACTGGGTATTGTCTTCCAGCATTGAATCAGAGCTGCATGCAAAGTTACACTGCTGTCTTTGAGCATCCCCTCTGTGGTTCCCACCAGGGTTTCATGTTACTGACAGGATCTTGACAGCATCTTTCTGGACTTGTTTCTGTCTTCCTATTGGAGAAATCACATTTTTCCCACTGGACGGTATATGTTGGATCGCTGTCCTGTATTCCCGCTCAGTTGTCGGCATAAGGAATAGAACACCAGGCCCTTTGACTCGAGCTGGCTGAGGGAATGCCATGCTCAAAGAAGTGCCATTGGATCTGGGAGAGAAGGTGGGTGAGGTCTTGTACTCGACCCAGGGTGGATAAAAATCAGTGATTTAAAAAACGAATAAAAAATCAGAATTTTTTATTTAAATTGGATTTTTAAAAAAATCATCAATAAAATACTAAATTTCTCATTTAAAAATAACAGTTCCAACTGCATCTCATTACAGACCTGCCCCGCGTGTGCATGTGCGCGCCCACACACACACACTTACAATCTCATAAAAATGAAGCAATGGCTCTAGTCTGCCCTGCCTAACAGCCAGCTCTTGCTTTTGAACGTTCTAAGCTTTCAATTTCTCTACCTCAGCAGACTAAGCAACATGCTCAGAGAATGACCCAGGCGGGACAGGATGGGTTTTGTTCTGTTACTGATGAAGAGGTGGACCTGGGCCAAGCACGACCGAGGAGTTAGCTAAGATATCATCCGGGCTGGTGACCCTGCCTGCGGCGGTGGACTGGGGGGGGCATGGGCAGGGGCTGCTC